ATTTTTCTCTTACAATTACAGCCAGCAGAATTATTTCAGTGGAGTCCTTGGGGGTCTCTGAGTTTGGCTGTTTTCTTGCAAACGTCTCATTACCCAGCTAGGTAACAGCCAAGTTCAGAGAACCCGAAGGACTCCACATTTCAATCTTGAGCTACATATATTCTCTTCTATTAGAATTATTTCAAAAGGCAACTCACATGAGAGTATTTAATATTATGAAGTTCTTGGCTGCATTTGGATATACGTTATTGTACGTATTATTGTACACTGCCCAGTAACCTTGGGTGAGATGGGCAGCCATATAAATTTGATTGATCAAATAAATAAATAAATAAGTAAGTAAGTAAATGCCTTTAAACCATGCTTTAGTTTTATGAGGATGCAGCTATAGGCTTTTCTCAGATTTATACACTCCTTTTCCTCTTTCAGTTGGCAAAGTGAAAAAAAAATCTCAACATCTATTTAGATTAACCGCTTCTTACTATACTGTCTGAACCCTAAACAGTCACAGATCTTAATTATACTTAGCAAAAACAATTATGCTTTGAAATTACTTTTTGTACTAAACACATACTCAATCTTAATGTTTAATCTTAACAGTTTCGGTTTGGACAATGTGACAAGAAATTACTAAATTCAAGAAGAATGAAAAAGTTTCTGTTATGCTAAGAAAGGAAATGAAAGTACAGCATGCAAGCTGAAGAGAAATCTTGGATCATTCTTGTAACACTAAGCTAGGGATTAGCTTTACATCCTCACCAGGCCCTCCAGAGTTTTTCACCTCTATGGCAGCACCTGCCTTATGGAACAGCACCCCCCCCCCTCCCAAGGTCCAGATGGCCCCGACCCTGTTAGCCTTTTGTAAAGCTCTGAAGATTTGGTTTTTTCCCCTAGGGTGTGGGTCAGGAGGTTAGGTGACCTCTGCTACTGACTTTTGTGAGTGGGGTCATTGTTTTATCCTTAGGCACCAAGGATTGTATGCTGTGTTCCACGTTTTACTCCTTGTACACCACCCAAAGTCACTGTTGTGAGATAGATGGCCACATAAATCATTTAATTAAATGAATAAAATGAATACATCTCTACCTACAGATAGGCAATCTTGTCAAATTTAATACAAACGATTGATTGATTGATTGATTGATTGATTGATCGACTATGTGCCATCAAGTCAGTATCAACTCTTAGCAAGCACATATATAGATTTTCTCCATGATGATCTGTCTCTAACCTGGTCCTTCACATCTTCCAGCAATACACCCACTGCCACTGTAACTGAGTCCATACTAGTCATCCTCTTTCTTTGCACCTTTCTTAGCATTAGAGCTTTCTCAGAGAGCTAGGTCTTTGCATAATGTGTCTGAGTAGGATAATTTGAGCCTGGTCATTTTTGTCTCAAGTGAGAACTCTGGGTTGATTTATTCAATGATCTATTTGTTTGTTTTCTAGGCTACCCATAGCATTCTCAGGAGTCATCTCCAACACCAAAGTTCAAAACTGTCAATACTCTTCTTATCCTGCTTCTTCAAAGTTCTATTTTCACTTCCATGGAGTATCACAGGAAATGCCACTGCTTGCATTATTCTGATTTTTCTAGGCATAGACACATCACAGCATTTAAATATCTTTTCCAAGGCCCTCATGGCTGTTCTACCAAGTCTACTTTGTGACATATTTCTTGACTGGTTGTTCCTTTACTATTAATGGTTGGTCCTAAAAGGCAGAAGTTAGCTACAGCTTCAATAACTTCATTGTCAATTCCAAAATTGGTTGTTGTACCTGTTGTCATTAGCTTGGTCTTTATATTTAGTTTTAGTCCCATTTTTCACTGTGCTTCTTGACTATTATTTATTACTAGACCTTGCAGATTCTTTGCACTTTTGGCTATTAGAATAGTGTCATCAGCAAAGTGCAGGTTATTGATGTTTCTTCCTCCAATTTTAAAAGCACACTCATCTTCTTCCAATCCAGCTTCCCTCACTATATGTTCCGCATATTTGTTGAATAAATAAGGGAGGATTATACAGCCTTGCCTTACTCCTTTGCCAAACCAGAGCCAGTATTTCACCATGTTCTGTCCATATTGTGGCTATCTGAACTATATAAAGATTTCTCACGAGGACAATGAGATGTTCTGGATTTCCCATTTTTCTGAGTACATTCCACAGCTTGATGTGGTCAACACAACTGAATATCACACATACTGACTTCTTTTTGGTATTCTTTGGCTTTCTCAATTATCCAGTGTGCATCAGCAATAATGTCTCATGTTCCTCAGCCTTTTCTAAAACCAGCTTGAACATCTGGTATCTTTTTTTCTACGTAGGGCTCTAATCTGTGTTAGATTATTTTGCTAGCATGTGAAATTAAGGACATAGTATGATAGTTTATGTTAAGTCTCCTTTTTTTTGGTATTGGAAAGTAGATTGACCTCTTCCAATTTGTTGGCCACTGTGTCATTCTCCAGATTTTGTGGCACAGCTTGGTTAGAAGAACACTCCCCAGAAGCCCTCCAACTAGTGTTTAGAGAGCTGCTTGGGAATCCTCAGCACTTCTTAAATAGAGTGGCAAACCACCATCCATCAATCTATCTGATATCTGCTTAGCTCAGAGATGGACTTGAGCCAAGAATGTTCAAGTTTAAAACCAATAGAGCTCATGAGATATTCTTGTGCTAGTCACAACCTCTTAGTCTGAGCAATCTTTTAGATTGTTTATGAGGCTAATAGAGAGTTCACTATTCTGAGAACACTCCCAGATGGCCAACTGTCAGAACCACCACTCAAAGACTCTCAGCTGCTTTTTATAAAGTATTAGTGACAATTATTGAAGAGCCAGAACCAACCTGCACTCCCTCCAAGTAACCAATAAGGAAATGTGGGTTTTAGTCTCTGGCTAGTGCCCTACCTCCTTGCCTTTCTTTGTAGGTTTGTTCTGGAGGAGAAAAGGAAATCAGTCAGCTGCAAAAAAAGTCCAGTGGAAGGCCACAATGGGAGAGTCATGGAACCATTGGTAGGTGGTCAAGCCAATGGAAATGCTGCCAGTCCCTAAGTTACAGAGAACCCGAGTCCTTCAAATTAGAGAATGATGGATGGATTGCCCAAGGACAATGTCAGCATGAGAACAAGGACTTTACACCACTCTAGCCAAAACCAAATGATAATGTATCCAAATGAAAAGTGTCTTGGATACGAATTATTTTCCCATGCTACATATTTCTTCCAAGATCAAGGTATAGGGTAGGTTGTTTAATGGGGCTATCTTATTCCTGTAAGTGCTATTTTGACTTATCAACTTATCGAGTTGGATCTTTCATATACAAACAATTCCAAAATATTTTAGGAATATATTGTTCTGTTTTCCACTCTGAGGATTGTCCACTAAATTGTCAGGGGCAAAGGCGGCAGGAGAGGGAGGAGGAAAAGAAAAATGAGGACAAAGTCATAAAAATGATAATGTGGTCATCCTGCTGCTTTGCACAGGAAAAACAGTTTCACCCTACTGTCTGATGTTATTTTGGTTATCATTTGCTCAATGATCTGGCAGGGGGTAAGGCAGAAGAAGGGAATGGATAAGAACAGCCTCATTAACTTCCAATAGCAAATTACCTCTCCATTTCACCATGGCGTGTTTCTATACCAGTCATTATTTGCTTCCAGAAAAATTCTAATTAAATTATTTTTTTCCATATCTACACAAACAGGCATACGATTCCCATTGTTACTTGCAGCATACAAAAGCATTCACCCATCCTTTTACATGTGTATTAATTGATAGTTCTACAGATGATCTCCAGTGTCAGGCTATATGGGTGTTAATTTATAACTCCATGGGTATGATACTATATTGTATGTTTTAATAAGTAAGAGTAATTAAAATGGTTTAGGATTGCACATTTGGATTTATGAACTTAATGTTATCAAAACCGGGCTATGAATTACCTTCTCTCTCCCCATCTTTACACACATAGAGTTAATTTCTGACAAACTTTGCTGTAGTTAAGGCAGTGCATGCCATCATGTGGCTGTGCCCTAGAACTGCTCCTTTCCTAGCCCTGGTAAATTATTTATAGAGGCATAAATAAACATTACGAGTACAATCCTAAATGAGTATACTAGAGGGCAGTAAATATAAAAAATAGATTGAGTTGTCATTAATTTGTAAGATTTTCCTCTTTAAAAAAGCAATGCATGCATTTTTATTTTTCCCCTTGAACTTTGTTTACTTTTTCTACTAAATTCACAGATCATTTCATTATCTAATTTCTCCTGGGAAAATATATTCTTTTATGTTGTTGTTTAGTCGTTAAGTCGTGTCCGACTCTTCGTGACCCCATGAACCATATTGCACCAGGCCTTCCTGTCCTTCACTGCCTCCCTGAGTTTGCTCAGTTTCATGCTCATTGCTTCAGTGATGCT